TAAATGTTCTTTATACTCACTAACTAAATTAATGCGAATGAAATGATTTGTACGTAATGGTAAATAAGTATTTATGTGAACTTGTTTTGCTGTTTTTATGCAGTAAATTTATTAAATGTTCTTTATACTCACGGGCTGAATGAAATGATTTGTACGTAATGGTAAATAAGTATTTATGATCTTGTTTTGTGAACTTGTTTTGCTGTTTTTATGTAGTAAAATTATTAAATGTTCTTTACTCACCGACTAAATTAATGCGAATGAAATGATTTGTACGTAATGGTAAATAAGTATTTATATTCTTATTTTGTGAACTTGTTTTGCTGTTTTTATGTAGTAAAATTATTAAATGTTCTTTATACTCACCGGCTAAATTAATGCGAATGAAATGATTTGTACATAATGGTAAATAAGTATTTTGTTCTTGTTTTGCTGTTTTTATGTAGTAAAATTATTAAATGCTCTTTATACTCACAAACTAAATTAATGCGAATGAAATGATTTGTACGTAATGTAAATAAGTATTTTATAAACTTGGTTTGCTGTTTTTATGTAGTATAATTATTAAATGTTCCTTATACTTACGGGCTAAAATAACAAAAAATAAATATTTATGAACTTAAATTACTAATATAGATTAATGATTGCACTTTATACTTACTCCCTAATATGTAAAAATTTGTATGAGATTTCAAAATTTCAAATAAAGAAATTAGAAAATATTATAATAAAAAAATTAAAAATAAACATACTTCTTGATCCATTCCTTAAATTTATTCTCATCCTGCTTCACGCTAATTCCATAATAGTAACAAATGGCAGTTTTCCAAATTCCCATAGAATTACCTGCCTCTGCAGATTTCAAATAATATGTAAACGCTTTATGCTTATCAACTTCAACTCCAATTCCTAAATAATAACAATAACCAACTTGATACATCCCATTAGAATTATTCATGTTGGCTGATTTTTGATAACAAATGAATGCCTGATTCTCATCCTTTTCAACTCCTATCCCATATTGATAACAATTACCAATTTGATACATTCCGTTAGAATTATCCATGTCTGCTGATTTTTGATAACAAAGGAATGCCTGATTCTCATCCTTTTCAATGCCTATCCCGCATTGATAACAATAACCTAGACTATTAATTCCTTCAGTATAACCCATATTCGCAGATTCTTTGAAACGAGTGAACGCTTTATATTCATCCTTTTCAACGTTAATTCCGTGAAGATAAAAATATCCTAATTCATATGTTTCATCAACACATGGGCTTTGTAGTTACAAGCTAGTAATTTTGAGTTTTAGTTGATTAGAAAAAATAAAGTTTAGATCGAATACATATTTAAGAATGTATACAATAAAATCTACACTCACAATCTAATTATTAAAAAATATATAGTAGATTTAAGATAATTTGTTAAAATATATTAATTTTAGTAATATTTTAAAAAACAGGATGCATATTTACCAGAATTAAAAGCAATAATTATCAAGGTCTATTTAGTTAATCTTGATAAACATAATTCAAAACAATAATATTATGCTTACTCCCTATTAATTCAAAGTGTATATAAATACGTAATTAGAAATATGAATACATTTGAAGACAGAATAACTCTATATTTACTTTTCACTAATTTTTATAAAAAATTTTGATGCCCATTCATCATTTGGTTTAATTTTCACTAATTTATTAATATCTTTGAATGATTCTTTATAATTTCCCATTAGATAATGGGCTTCTCCTCGATATCTTAGTGCAAATTTGCTGTTTGGTTCAATATTAAGCAATTTTGTTAGATCAATAATTGCATCTTCACAGTTTTCCATAATAAAATTAAATTTTCCTCTTAATTTAAGAGCAGTGTCTTGATTGATTTTCAATGAATTATCTAAATCTTCTAGTGTATATATATTTGTTGTATTAATATACACATTAATAAATTCGATCCATTTTGTTTTCAATAATTCATCATTTATATCATTACTAATAGTCTCTATTTACAAAAATTGCGGTATTAAATTACAAATCAAAGAAAACATACATTTATAACTATTAAGCATTACCTGCATATTTAAATTTTCTACTACCAAAATTTACTTCTATAGATCCACCTTGCGACCCCATTCCAATACAAGGAAACAAAATGCCTTTTAAATTTCGGAATGCAATACCTTAAAATTTATGTTATAATATATTAAACTACTTGATATGCATGATCTAAAAGAACAAAACTATATTTGCAATAACTACCTAGGTTAATACCATTTTTAGTATAGAATACAGTGTTATTTTTAAAATTTAAACAACATCCAATGGTATCGCCAGTAGAAAACAACGGCCCATAAGGATTGCCGCTTCCCGAACAGCAAAAGAATTTGCCATCATCTCCGTGATAACCCCAGGAACCATTATCCCATCCTATAAAAAAAATAGTATGAATTAATATATTCAATATACAAATAAAAAAAGTAATATTAAGTTTAATCACCAGGCATTCTATTTAAATTAACTGTCTTTTCACAAAATCCAACTCCAATACATCTTTTGAATAGAATATGAAGAATATAAGCAAAATTTAAACGAATTTATTTTAATTTATAGCGATATAGATTTAACATACTTATTTTTTCCGTCATCTATTATATCAACTTCAAAGTAAAATAACTTGCATTGCGGGGGAATTGGATGATTTGCCCGTATTGTACCGACATCTTTTACACTTTGCCCAAACCTATATGTATTTAAAAAAAAAATTGTATTAATTCAGAAATGTAAATAATTCATCATGTTAACCTATACAAATACGATTTGCAAATGCGCAAGATTATGAGCAAAATTTTTTAATAATTCAAGCTACCCAGTCTGCATTAGTATAATGCATATAAAAATTTATGCGCATGTAATTTGAAAAAAAATCAAAATTTGCATATTACTAAGTCCCACCTTCATAATTTACTCTAAGTCCGCTCGAATCTACGCTCAAAAAAGTAGATTTATCATCGAGATTCCACACTGTTGGTAAGTCCATTAATTGCGTTAAATATAGAGTGGACTATTTTAAATTTAACATGAAATTGTTTATGTTCAGTAATTTTTTAATACAAATCTATTTGAGCTACTAATTAAATTTGTAGAGTGAGCTTTCCTGTTTTAACAGGATAAAAAAATTTAAGATTAGCTATTAAAAATTTATAATTCATTCAGAAGATTATTTAAACGATAATAAAGCTTAATTATACCTTAAAAATTTTATCAGTAACCCTTTTTTAGTCTCATAACCTTTTAATTTTTTACTAATTTTGAATTTATATGAATATTGTGCTTTATTGTTAATTTATACTAATTTTTATTAAATTCCCATCATCCTAAGGTTTATATTTTATGTGAAAAAAATTTCACAAAAAATATGCGTAACAAATTATCGTTATTTAAAGAACTTTGCGATACATTAAAAAAAAATATACAACATTTCCTAAATTATCAACTGTAAGCGTGTGTACCGGCGAATCAGTAGATCAAACATTGCCGGGAATTTCCTTGTATGGGTTAATTTATCCATTTTTGTTATACAAGTGGTATGTTTGAGTATTCGGTAAATATTTGTTCTATTGTTATGATTGATTGTGTCTGTAAATCGTAGCTTTGTCCATTTTTGGGTTTCTGAGTTTTAATCGTTTCATGGTGGAGTCTCGTAGGTCATGCTCTATTGAGCATACGAATTCTTGGTTTTTGAGTAGTCCCAATAGTCCATAATCGCTAATTTTCTTTAGTGTTGGATTTCCTTTAAGTTTCTTTGATATGGACATTCGATCTTGTGGTTCAAATAATTCTAGA